AAATGTATTTGTTTTAAACAATAAATATGTTTTCCAAAGGAGGAGACTAAAGGGTATGAAGAGAGAGCTGGAACGGGAGGTAGAGATTGGAACACCAAGGTCTTGCGATCTAATATACCGTCTTGTGGGAGGAGGAAACACGAAGGACAGTGAACCCACTGGGGGACATGGAATGCTCCCTTTCTCCAGTGTAGCTGTACAATGGGTTGATTTGTAGCAGATTCTGCTCATTGACTGTTCTAATCTGAGAAGTGTTATTATTATTATTATTATTATTTGCATAAGACAATAAACTTCAAGAGCCAAGGTCCCAAACTAAGCAGTACATTTAAAAGAATATGTGTGTTTTTGTCTGTTGGCTCAGATGACTTAAGACCCCAAAACTCTGGTGAATAGCAGGTAATAAGTTAGAGGGGAAGAAAGAATGCAGAGGGTCTTTACAAAGGGGCTCTGCTCCCTACACCTACACCCAGTTAGCGCCAAAGGATGAGACCCACCCCCCTCCACGGCTTGGGTTGCTGAGAGCAGAAAGGACCCTGCTGCTGTGTGTCTGGAGCTCCTGTGTGTGTCCCCTGTACCATCAGGGCAGGGGCAGGGAAGGAGATGTTACAATATGGGGCAGGGTGGAACCAGAGTGGCTTGGGAGAGCTAGGGAACTTTCTTGTGTCTCTGAGACTGAAGCTGAAGTTGCTGAGAAAGGGAGCCAGTGATCCAGAAAGTCTCATGTTTTGAAGAGGGGATGTGAGGCCAAGAGCAGCCTGCTTGGTGACCAGAGACCACGTGGGAATGATGGCCCTGGGCAGAGGCCCTGCCTTAGCTTCACAGAGTGGTTCATGCATACTGTCTGTCTGCTGAGAGGACTGTGTGATGCTGCTTTATGTCAAGAAGCAGATACGAGTAGAGTTTCTTGAAGATGTGTGCAAGTACACCAAGGGGACATGTGCTTGGGCTTTTGGTCATTTTCTGCAGCCCCCTCCAGGCTCACGCTCTTGAATTCCTGTGACTTGCCTCCTCATTAACACTTGTGGGCCCTCAACTTGGACTTGGTTCTCTTTTGCATCCCTGCTAGGATTAGCTAATTCTCACTGCTGAGTCTGGCCACTCCCTAAAGTGCACTCATCCATGCCCAGAGACCTGGCATCTAGCCTGCATGCCCTCTGCTACCTGATCGCATTGTGCTCTGTTTTTGGCTTTCCTGTGCCCACACTGGTGCTGACAGCTTGAAGGGATCCCACTCCACTCTGCAATCTGAGATGGACTATATACTAGGAGTAGCTCTAGCCAATAGCAGACCAGGAGAAAAGGGAATTCTGGGGAGGAGCAGACTAACGGTTATGGTGTAACATAAGCCACTCTGGCTTATGTGCAGAAGCTAGGAGAACAATAATTGCCACAGTGTTTCTTTCATTCTATCTTATCCACTACTTGGGAACTCAGACACACCTCTTAGGTTCCTCCTGGATAATCCTGAGAGATATGTATGCCAAGATCTAGTCTTCCACCATTGGCCACCACCATTTCTTTCTTGTTTACTCCAGCTGGCAGTGATACTGTCCTCTCACTGCTGGCAACCCCAGAAGTGCCATCTATGACCTTGAAATCTGCAGAGGACCCACACTTGCTGGAGCAATCTATGTCCGGTATGAACCTACCACCATTAACGTCTGTGCCAAGGTCACTCACTGGTGACCGTGCTGAAGGAACGGTCTCCACTGCCAGCAGTGATGCTTTGTGGATGGAGTTGTGTCTCCTCAAAAGATACGTTCAAGTCCTAACACCTGGTACCTGCAAATTGGACCTTATTTGGAGATTGGGTCTTTGCAGATGAGACTAAGACGTAAATTAAGACACAGATAGACATGTGGGGACAGCCTCGTGTGGAGACAAAGATAGAGTTTGGAGTGATGTGTCTAGAAACTGAGGGATGCCAGTGGGTGTCAGCAGTGACTAGAAGCTGGCAGAGAGTCCTGGAACTGCCCCAGTGCCAGCCTTGCCAGCTGCCGCAGGGCCCATGCCCCCTGGGATCCACCAGCATTACAGACACGTGCTCATTTGCTTTTATTTGGTCTTTTATCATGCACTCCCTTGCTCTAGGATCCAGGTTCATACCCATGGGGGCGGGGCCCAGGTGACATCTTATGAGTGGTGACACCTGCCGAGTCAGAACACCTCATACCCTGAGCTTCCCAGTCCCTCCAGAATCAACATGGGACCCTCTCACCTCTTGAGATGAGAGCTCTCCCCTCAGCAGCCTCAGCTGTATACTGGGGTTAATGCAGAAAATTACATTTGCTGGGCTATTTACACTTGCATGTCACTATTTAGAAATGAATTTCTCCTCTGAAAAAACATACACCCAGAACAGCTATTAACCCACAGTGCAACTGATGTTCAGGAAAAATCAGGAATCAAAATATGCAAAAGAAAGCAAAAACTTCAGTCTAGCTCAGGGCTCACTGCACCCAGACCTCTTTTGTCCTCACCCTGCCCACTCTGGGCTAGAGCCTTCCCCAGGAAGAAGGGTACAGGAAAGTGCTGTCGTGTTGACCCCTGGTCCAAGCTCCCTGCTAGAGATATCCACATCTTTCTCTCCTGGCAACTGTGCACTTCACCTTGTGTGAGGCCCACAGCATCCCTCGGAGGGCAAGGAAAGGCCTCGGATATCTGTACAGAGTGGACTGGGGGTGAGGGCCAAGGTTAGCAAAGCTGGGGCTCTTCCTGATAGTCCTCATAAGAGGGACCTTGGGTTGGAAGATATTTGAGGGTCTTCACTAGCATCACAGGTCTTCTAAAGCTCACCTTGGATGACAGTCACGGCGGCGGGGGAGAGGGGGGTGATGAAGATGGACAGGAGCAGGGAGCTGGTATTTCCAACTGCGCTGGGGTCCTGGGCAGACCTAAAGGTCTGGGGGATGGGAGGTGTTGGTCCCAATTCAAGTATCATTTCCAAACTTCACTGACTCACAGCCAGCAGCCTCCTTCACGGGGATGCTGTGACCGAGAGCCCCACAGCAGCAGCCATACCATCGCTTGAAGGGCAGCCCCTCACCCAGCCTTTTCCACATTATCTTCTGTGAGGTTCCCCTGAAACTGAAAATCCCACTCAGTAAGCTTAGGACACAGGCAGGGGCCCGGCTGGTTAGAAGACACCCTGAAAAAGGAATTGAAGATAACAATGAGGATAAGCTCTCAAATGATTCTTCCTGTGTTTCTCTTTTTTTTTCTTGCTTTGATTATCCTGCTCCACAGACACTAGCTACCCAGAGAGAGGAGCCCCGCCTGAACAACAAACCCTCCCTTGTGCCAAAAAAGAAAAGCACGCACATGTCTCTAGCAGAACCCACTTGCTGTTTACATTTGTGAAGCATCCTGTCATTTTGGAACAGCGTTTTTTTTAAACATTTGCCCCTTTCTCTATCCCTTTCTACTTAAATTTTCTGCTCACTATCAAAATTGGGGTGGAGTGAGGGCAGTAGCAGGGGAGGGGAGAAAAAATGAAAGATGAAACCAAAACCCCAAACAGGGGATACTTCTGGTAAAGTTATCTTCACTGTCACAATCTGTCTTTCAGGAAAAAAAGTCACCATTTTGTGCAAATGCAATCTTTTGCTTCCCCCGCACTTGACAGTGAAGAGCAACTTAAGGTGCAGGTAAACCTTTACAATGGTTCCTAACAATAGTCTTTGACTGGAGCTCAACCCTCCTGCTCGCCTGCTGGGGGTGGGGTGGAAGGGTGTTCTCCTCACCCATCCGGTTCTTCTGGTAAGGTCCTTGTAAGCGGGCCTCACTGTCCTTTCTCTGATAGTCCCAATAACAAGGACCTTGAGTTGAAGGACAAGGGAGGGCCCTCAAGTCACACCACAGCTTCTAAAGCTCACCCTGCCCCATGCCTTCCTGTCTTCTGATGGTTCTGGGGGATCATCACATTCTCTTACCTTAGGCTGATGACTCCCCACTGTCACTGGGTCACCCTCCCCAGACTGAAGACTGCTTTGTCCCTTTCTCTTTGTTTGAGTTTCTATGTCCCAAAGGAATGATAGCTATCCCAGAGTCCTTGCCAAATTTCTCCCAGGCGGCTCAAGGATTCTCATGTAAATAAGTCTGACCTTTGACCTGTCCTGCTAGGTTAGAGTTCCCAGTGGGTAAGTAGGTTCACCTTCTTTCAAGTGTCCGCTCAGGGCTAGAGAACCAGAGATTTTATAGACTGCTTCATTTTCACTGAGCTCAGTCACAAACTGCTTCAGACTGACACAGCTATGTAGTAATCCACATAGCTAAGCAATTGTATGGTGTGTATAAAAGAACTGAGACAGATTTTCAGTTGTCCTCAAAAGGTTGTGAAGAAATAACAAATGAGTTTCTCTTTATAGTTCCTCACACCTGTTCTCTCCCAGAGGCAGTAAGGACCCTGATTCGCCATGGCAAGTGGTCAACTGAAATTGGGGACAGCCTCTCTCTGGTTTTTACACCCTGTCTGGGAGAGGTGCATGCTAAGAGTGGGAGAGAGCTGATGGGATTAGAAGGCTGGGAATAAAAACCTCTCCTGAATCTAAACTCACTGATTTTTTCATTTTACAAAGCAGCATTCTTGGTAAAAATCAGCAGGAAAAGGCAAGGATGCAGATATTAACTCCAAGGCCTACATTCAAACCCGCTGTGTTCCGTGCTACAGAAGCTGCAATGGCCGACAGTACAACTCCAACGTCAACCAATGGCGATGGAGGTTTCTGAGTGTAATGCAAGTAGCACACAAGAAATGAAGCTCAAGATGGTTCAGGAAAAGATTGCTATCCGTATATATGTAAATATTACTTATTATTAAATAATTTAATAAACAGCAATAAATAATATATAATATTGGGTTGTCAGAGAAGTCATGATGCATTTTTGCAACGAAAAACAAAAAAAAATACATCATGACTTCTCTGACAACCCAATATTATTACATATTTTTAAATAATATTACACATAGAAATTATATATATGTACATACTCTCCACATTTATTTTTTTGCTAATAACCCCTCAGCCAAGATCATGAAATCAAGTGTCAAGGTTACAATTTAGCAGTCACCTTCAAAGGCAGGGCAGATCCCTAGATTGCGCTGTTACTTGGGACTAGGTTTTCCTTTTCCGAGGTCAAGCTGCAGGTTCCTGGGCACTCAGCGACCCTGCCAGGTTTTCCCCTGCTCTGTAGGAGAAGGGTTGTGGGACAACCTTGAGGGGTGTTAGGGTGTGTGTGGCGGGGAGCGAGTAGCACCAGCAGAGGCAGGAGTCGTGCCCATGTCGTGCTGGATGGAAAAGGAGAGGGTAGACACTGGATTCCAAGGACTACCTGTGGAGTGGACCTGAGATTCTCAAACTGTGTCCTCTATCCTCAGCTCGGTCCATTGCGACCAAATGCAGACTGGGCAGTATCTTGGATGACCTCAGACCCAGTAGCTGGAGTCCCAAAAGCTGTGGTAGTCCCAAAGGACCAGTCAACTCCCACCCCACAGAACTGTGGCACTTTCCTGGCAGAGAGTTGCTAATCTGTATTTCACTGATGGCTGGTGTTACTATAGCAAGAATCAGAACAGGCAATAATAAGGTTTCAACACCGACCTGGAGATTGTGCTCAGCACGGGACCAAACACGGATGTAGACAGACACACTCCATGTCTGCTGGACTTGGTATCCAAATATTAAGGACAGACACGAAGGGTTTGGGAAAGGCACACAGATTCATGATACCAAGGATAGGTGATAAGAAGACTAGGCATTTTGTGTTGGTTGAAATTTTTTTTTTTGGTCTATTTTGGGGGCATTTTGTGAAAGAGCAAATGTAAAGGAGGAATCTGAAGGTGGGTAAGATTGGATGGAATTTGAATTCCATAATTACGACTCTAATTTCTGCAATCAGCTCGAGGCTCTGTTGCCTGCTCTTGCCACAAGAAAACACTATGCAGCGCAAAGCCAAGTCGGATGGATCTGAAGTGGGTTAGGGTGTTATATAAGCCCTTGGCGGGCGGGAGATGGTCTTTTAAGTGTGTTCCAGCAGCAGCAGCCGGCGGCGGCGGCGGCGGCGGCAGCGGTAGCAGCAGCGGCAGCGGCAGCGGCAGCGGCAGCAGGAGCAGCACCGCAGCAGCAGCCGCAGCAGCAGCCGCAGCAGAGTGGCTCAGGTTGATTTAGAATACGGATGACAGTGGCCTGGCGCGAGCCCACGGCTGACGAAAGCTGCTGATCCCGCTCGGTTTCCATGGAGACGAGCGAGCGCGGTGGCGGCGGCGGGGCTGTCAGCGCGCGCGGCGGCGGCGGTCGCGCGTCCGCGGGGGTCTGCAGGAGGAAGGAGGAGGCCGGGGCCGGGACCCTCGCGGCAGACATGGACTTGCCTTGTGATTGTGCTGCCGAAACTCCGGCCGCCGAGCAGCCGTCGGGGAAGATTAACAAAGCCGCTTTCAAATTATTCAAGAAGAGGAAATCCGGTGGCACCATGCCCAGCATATTTGGGGTCAAAAACAAAGGGGATGGGAAAGGCTCGGGTCCGACGGGCATGGTGAGGAGCAGGACCCACGACGGACTCGCCGAGGTGGCGGTGCTGGAGAGCAGCAGGAAGGAGGAGCCGCGCGGCGGGGGCGACGCCGGCGGGGGCCGCGGCGGGGGTCGGCCGAACCCCGGTCCCCCCAGAGCGGCCGGGCCCGGCGTGGGCTCGCTAGCCAGCAGCTCCGTGGCTAAGTCACACAGCTTCTTCTCCCTGTTGAAAAAGAACGGGAGGTCGGAAAATGGCAAAGGGGACCCGGCAGATGCAGGCAAGGCTGGCGGCAAACAAAAGAGGGGGCTGAGAGGGCTCTTCAGCAGCGTGCGCTGGCACAGGAAGGACAAGCGCTGCAAGGAGGGGGCGCGCGAGGCGCGCGCGGGGGGCCCGGGCGGCCTTACCCTGCCGGGGTCGCTCACGGCCAGCCTGGAGTGCGTCACGGAGGAAGCGCCCCGACCCGCGTGCGCGCCGGAGAACCCCAGCAGGGACGCGCCGCCAGACCCAGCAGGTGAGCCCGGAGGGGGAAAGCCGGGGCCGGCCTCCGCGGATCGAGAGGCCGAGAGCCCCGGGGTCCCTGACGCCACCGGCGCCCAGGGAGAGGACGCCGTGGGGCATCGGCGCGCCGAGGAGCCCCGGGCACCCCCCGAGCTGGGCGCTGGGGAGGTCCGGACGGCCGAGGATGCTTCCAGGACAGGTGACGTTCCGATAAAGACTGTCCCCCTTGTCGACTCCGACTGTGGCAGTGGCCGGGCGTCTGCCGTCCCTGACCCTTCCTCTGTCGATCCACCCTCAGACCCATCGGCCGATCGTATTTGTTTGATGTTTTCTGACGTTACTTCACTGAAAAGCTTTGACTCTCTTACAGGCTGTGGAGATATTATTGCAGACCAAGAGGACGAGGCAGGTCCCAGCTGTGACAAGCATGCCCCCGGGCCAGGCAAGCCAGTTCTCTCTAAAAAGAACCCCAGCGTGGTGGCCTACCAAGGAGGAGGGGAGGAGATGGCGAGCCCGGATGGGGTGGATGACACCTATCTCCAGGAATTCTGGGACATGCTCTCCCAGACTGAGGACCAAGGACAAGGGCCCCCAGAGGGAGCGGCGAAGGCGGCGGCAGCACTGGACGCCAAGGTGGTACCTGAGACCTCCAAAGATGCCAGGTGTGCAGAAGCGGCCAAGGACATGTCCTTGGTCAAGCGCAGGAGGCTCAACCGGATACCCATTGAGCTCCATCCCAAAGAGGAACCTAAGCACCTGGAGAAGGAGCAGCAGGAAGGCGTTCCCAACAGTGACGAGGGCTACTGGGATTCCACCACTCCGGTCCCAGAGGAAGACGGCACGAGCAGCGGGAAGAAGGCAAGCATACCCCGGGATAGCTACAGTGGTGATGCGCTCTACGATCTCTACACGGATCCGGATGCAAGCCCAGCAGTCCCTCCCGCCAACGAGGAGACATCCTGCGTGTCCCGGTTAAAGCCCGTGTCTCCAGTCACCATCACCTGTCCACTGCGAACACCAGGCAGTTTGCTGAAAGACTCTAAGATCCCTATCAGCGTCAAGCACCTTGCGAACCTTCCATCTAGCCATCCTGTGGTGCACCAGCAACCAGCCAGGAGTGAGGTGCCCAGAACCAAAATCCCGGTGTCCAAAGTGCTGGTCCGCAGGGTCAGCAACAGGGGCTTGGCTGGGACCACCATCAGGGCAGCGGCATGCCACGACAGTGCCAAAAAGTTGTGAGGTCTTCATTGGACCACATGTCAAGGAATACAACTCCCTGGAAACCTGGAAAAATATAAGTTTTGCTTCCCCTAAGAAAGGCTTTTAGGACTGTCCCTGCTCCAGAGCCTAGAACAAGGAGACCTTGGTGGCCAACTGGGGCAGGAGACACTAGAGAGGGGATGTCACACATGGGATTCTCCTCCCAAGATAAGTCCCTGACAATTATTTTCAAGCACTTTTTTTTCTTTTTTACCTTTTAAAAAATATTTTTCTCTCTTTTTTTCTTTAATGCACTGAACACTCGGAAGTCACCTTTACTTGCCTTTGCAGAAAGCAGGACTTAACCAAACTGAAGTGTCACGCCATATTTGGTGGTGCCAGAGTCCAGAGGGCCTGGAGGAAGCTTTGCGTCTTATTTCGTTGCCTTCCTGAGATAAAGTTTAATTTCTCTTCCCTTCCCTTCCCTTCCCTTCCCTTCCCTTCCCTTCCCTTCCCTCTCCTTTCCTTTCCAGGAAAAAAAACAAAAAAGACCCTTTGCTGTAGCACTGTGTGGAAAACACCTACGAAGCTGAAAGAGCCAGGTATTTACCTGATGGGCAGAGGGCATCATTCCTTGGCAGAAAATTTGCCTACTTTCAGTCGCTAGGTATGCCAATAGGTAAATATCTACCACTGGGACAAGAAAGGAGAGTTTTGGTTTGTTTGGTTTAGATCATTTGTTTGGGGAGAAATAAAAAGCTCAGCAGAGCAGGCTTTTCCGTTTTTGTTTTTTTCCCACCCTGTGCAGAAATCAGGATTGGGGAAAGATTTCACTAAACACCAATAGACCCGGTATTTTAGCATTTATAAACTATCACCTTTTCATGTGTACATAATGCATATTTTACAGTTTATGCAGCTGTTAACATTTTATAATCTGTCTGTAACCTCGAGTTTAAAATCTGGTTTTATAGCTGGATTTTGGTAACTGTCCTCAAAACACTGGTGTTCTCTTATGTGCTGTGTAACCTGAAGCAATTCTGTTTTTGTTTTATATGGGTTCTCTGGCTTTCAATGCAGGAAAAAGAAATCTATTGTTGAGCAATAGTTCTGCCTTGTCTTGGGTAAGAGTCTATTTGTTTCTCCCCCAAGCCTTGGTTTTCAGAGATTTTACCTTCGATATAAAAATTTTTGGATTCAACCATTCTTCCATATGGGGAGTGTAAAATGAGGAACACATAATGAATAACAATAGAAAAATATCATTTTTTCATGCCATTTGACTTCTGCTCTATATAGACTTAGGACTGAGATAAGTATGTTCAGAATCTGACACTGACAAGCTTATGTATCATAAACACTTTATGCCAAGATTTTTTTGAAAAGTGACTTACTTTGTGTATGTTCTCTATTATTTGAAGTGAAACATGTATTTCAGAAAGCATTCCCATATGCCTGGGTGGTTTGAATAATACACTGAAGCAGTTCCTCGAACACTATTAATGCCTAATGATTCTATAGTATCATCTGAGATGCACTTCAGTGTATTTAATCAAAAGACCAGAGCTTGTACTTGGAGGTGATTCGTGGTATCAGGAAGATTAGACATACTCAAAGGAAACGACACATATGTAAATGACAAATACGTCTATGTAGCTCTCGTTTTCCAGGGAGATTGCCTAAGTAATGAACTGGTATTACATGTTTTTTAAGTTTGTTTTCTGTTTTATAAAGGAAAGAATAAGGCAAGTTAAGTATATGAAAACCTGTTTTAATAATATGAAGGAAGTAACACAATAAATGGACACCCAAGGAAAACAAATTTGAGCCAGTAGCACAAAGCAGGTTGTTTCCCATTTTAAATGCACAGTGTTTCAATGAGAAGAGGTGGCAGGGATTTGCCCAATTTCTTTATTAGTCACATTACTAGCTTTTATTACATTGTGTCTTTAATGTTATTTCAAAATAATGTTTTAATATTTAATTTCCTTATGTCTATAGATAAGGTCCTCCTACACTGACGTAGCCTTAAGCACTCTGAATACACCACCAGAAATTCATAAAGCAACTCACACATGCTCACGCACTAACTGTGCACTACTAGCAGACAAAGGCACCTATCGTAAACTTGGAAGCATTTTAGACATCATTTCTGTCTTGAGAAAGGGATTTAAATTTGATTTAAAGCTTATAGTACTATTTAGATGCAAAATACATTCATTTTCCCCTAGTGAACATAAATTTTATTCCTAGCTGTAAAACAAAGTATCTTTATTTTCTTCTTGTGCATTTTCTTGCAAGGGTTATATTCTCCTCTGCATGAATCCATGACAGAGTTACATGTGTTCCATTGTACAGGAAAGTTAAGAGTACCTGAAGTACTGATGAGAATGTTGTAATAGTAAAAGCAGTCTATCTATTTATTTTGTAAACACTGGAACAAACTACTTTTGGTTTCACAGAGTTGGGGCTTATTTCTGCATTTACACTGCTATGCTGTGTCATTATATAAGTAAAGGAAAATGTCAGCAAAGTTTACCTTAATTATGTATTTTTCACGTTTTTTTACTCTGTATCTCTAAGAATTCCACCTACACCAGTCAAATGAAGGATTCAGGAAATGAATTAAGTACCCTCAATCACTTGATGGGAAATAGGACCAATGCAGGACGAGTGTATCTTAACCTTTTCCAATCATAGACAAGGGATCATAGGGTGTGTGTGTGTGTGTGTGTGTGTGTGTGTGTGTGTGTGTGAGTGTGTGTGTGTGTGTGTGTGTGTGAAGAATGACTTTCACTTATTCATGTTCATGGAGAGTGTTTGTTAGAATTTTAATAGATTCTCATTCCAATTATTATTAATGCATTATCTAATTTGGCCATATTTCCTTATTGTTTTTAAGGAAAGGGTTGGATATGGTCTGTTGACATTTTTTCTGTGTGTATGTATGATTCTGAGATAGTTGGTTGATTAAGTCCCTTTAGTCAAAGAGCTGACCAAATTGGAAAAGAAAAAGTCAAATCAATTGTGGACCCTGAATTTATCAGTCAGTTTAATAGCTCTGCACAAAGACAGCCTGATTTTAATATCAGCATTATACAGACAGTGTCATGTGAACCACTCTAATGGTGCTAATGGCAGCTGATGCTTTTATTCTTCCATCAACACCAAAAGGGAGAAATTTTACTACAGCATTCTGAATAATCACACGAGGAAATGGATTCCTATTATTTCACCTAATAACAATGGAATATAGAACATTAAGGATTTCCTTTAGATACATTTTCCACAAATTATCTGCGTACGTGAATACCAAGTGTTTAACATCTATGAAGGTGATGACTTACAGAGTGTAAAGGGTTTATTCATTAATCTCAGAAGTAGTTTTCAAGTATTTGCATTAAAACGAACATTCAAATAGCCTTTTGCTTACACAGTTATCAAGGTAAAAAGGCTGTGTTAGGTATCAAGCTTTCTTTGATCGAACTTTCTAAGAGTTTTCGTTATTGACATCTTAGGTTAATTTTCAGTGATTCTGTCTTTAACTTTATATGGAGAGATTGAGTAATGGGGCTTTCTGTCCGCTCTCTTTGTTTTCATCATATCTGTTTCGTGCCCTTAGATAGTAGTAGTGAGAGCCTTCTTCTCATGGTTTAGTGTGTTTTGACACTCGCATATTGTAACTCATTTCCTGCTTGTAGTCATTGTAGATTTCTCTCCTGAATGAGTATGTGGACTTGGCCCCCTATAATTGGCTGCTACTGAGACATGCTCTAGTACATTATACCATCAACTTTGCTCCCCTTATCATTGTTATGTAATTAATTCAGGAATTTTATACTCTTGAACATAAGGAAGAAAAAGGATCATAGTCACCTCCTATCACCGCTGAGGATGGCCAGCTAAAGTTCCTGGGTGAAATGAGAGGAGAAATCCAAATATCAGCCCTGCCTTGCTTCCCTACCCCTTCTCCAGGCAAACCAAGGCATGGACAACACAGTCCTTAGTTAGGAAATTTCAATTCATTACGTGAAAATATTTGTGAAACAGCCTGAGACCAAAAGGCTAGTGTGACAGCCTAATGTCTTAATATAGTCTGTGTGGGAAAGCAAGAAGCAAGCATTTACTTCTTCAAAAAAACAATAAAGCAATTGTACCAGTGTCAGGTAAAATGTAAGGATGCTCCTTCCTCAAGGGTGGGGATTGACCCTGCTTTAAAGGTCTTCTGGAGGCTGTCATGGATTGCTTTTCAAAGCCTTTTCACTGTGATATAATGGCTTAAAGGAGACAGTTTATTGCAACAATAGCCACTCATAAGGAATATTATTATCTCATTGCAGATAATGTTCTTAAGGAGTGATTCAGAATGATAGTTGCATGATTATGGAAAGGAGTTCCTTCTCAAATTCAAAAAAGAAAGATTAAAATAGTCACAAAGCATTTCTCAACCCATTCCCTATATTCCAATAAAAACAAATTCACAAGAAAAAAATTAAGTCACAAAGCCTCCAGAACTGAAATTGGGCACATTTTATGACTGATAATTACTTTAATTCAATGCGACACTTTCACAGGGCATATGCTGTTTCTTATACTTAAAAATCCATTTAGTTTGGACTTCCTAAATAGCTGTACTGTAATTGGATTTAATATTCATTAAACACACCTTTATTTTATTATATCTACTTTTTTTTTTGGTATTTGTTGCCTATAGTTTGTGGGGTGAGGGTGGTATGGATTAAGACACACAAATTGTTCTAAAAATAATAACAGTAACGATAACAATGGTTAATAGTTGTTGAGTACTAAGTGCCAGTGACTGGTAGGAGCTCCACAAATATTTACTTAGGCCTCGTAAGAGCTATATAGGTTAGGTAATATTATCTTCCTAATATGATATCCTTTTTGTTTGCTTCTATCCCATTCCATCCCCCTCCCTGTTTCTTCTAGTCTCTGGGACAGGGATATTAAACCCTTTAGTGACTTATGATAATACAAGAACGAAAAACTGCTTAATGTCATTACCAGCTCACTTTCAATAGAAAAAAAAAAAGCTAACCCATGTCATGAAGCTGGAAGTTGGTTTTGTGTCTGAGATAATGGTGCTCATGTTACTGACAGGGAAACCTGTTCATATAGGTTAACAGGCAGGCAACCTGCCTTCCTTTGGCAGTATCCTCTCCTGGGGAGCACCATCAAAAGTATGGACAGAAATCTCTTCTGTTGTCATGGTGACACTTCTTCCCTGAGAGGATGTCAGCCATTCCAAGCACGTTCCACCTGTTTTCTACCTTAAGCACAGTCTAGGCTTGTCCTGGGTGTTCTGCACTGTTTGTTTAGATAAGAACTAGCTGAGTGGTTTGATACAATTCTGAACTTCACAGATAAGCTCCCGGCTCTTTCAAAAGTGGAGCATCCTATCTTC